CGATATGTTTTGGGTGATTCGATGTTGTTTGAGGTGTTTTGAAGATTGGTACAAGTTTGAATGGTGGCATGTGACCTTTTTGTGCTTTTGGTTGAGGTCCCGGGGGCCTCGAGGTGATTACGGATGGGTGACAGAAGAATTGGAATTGAGTTTTGTAGTTGAAGCATTTGGTTTCTGTCATAACCGCACCTACGGTTGGAAGGCCGCAGGTGCGATGATCACAGAAGCGGAAGGCAGCCGTGGATGCGGCCAAGTAGAAGTCCTCAGGAATCACAGAAGCGGTAGCATGGGCACACCTGCGGTAGCGCATATGCGAGTTTTTAACCGCAGATGCGGTAACTAGCAATTTAACAAAAACCGCAGATGCGGTGGTTTTGGTTGCAGAAGCGGGAAATGGACCGCAGGTGCGAAAATGCTTGGGTCAGAAAGTATATAATGTTCCTTCGTGAAATTTTGCTAAGTTCTCCATTTTTGAAGACGGGAAGAGAGCTAGGGCAGCGAATTCAAGGAAAAATCGTAGAGAATCAGTTGGGTAAGTTCCCTGAGCTTCATTACTCATGTTTATGATCATTTTCCCATTGTTTAATCATGGTATTAGTGGAAATTAAGGAAGAAAATTGAGGGATTAGGGCTTGAGATTAAGAGACCTTTGAGTGGGGATTTAAGGGGCCATTTGAGGTCCGATTTTGATATTCTTGATATGTATAGACTCGTGGGAGGATGAGGATTCTATTGATATTAATTTTGTCAGATTTCGAGACATGGGCCTGGGGCCGGGTTAGAGAAATTTTGGGATTTTTGATGTAGATTGGATATTTTCGAGTGGGCTTTGTTCCCTTCGCATATTTTAATGGTTATGTGCTGATTGTGGCTAGATTTGGAGCATCCGGAGGTCAATTCGTGAGGGCAAAGGCATCGCAGGCTAGAGTTTGGACCGCATCGAGGTGAGTAATGATTGTAAATGATGTCCTAAGGGTATGAAATCTCGAATTTGCACATCGTTGTGCTATATTGAGGTGACGCACATGCTAGATGATGAGTGTGTGGCCGTGCAATATTAGGGATTGTGACTTAGTCCATACCGAATGACTGTTTTACCGCGTATTTGACTAAAAACTATTTGATATCATCATGATTTGGGCTGAATGCCATATTTGGGCTGAATGCCAACTATTTGAACCCTTAGGGGATTTTTATTGATATTTCCTCACTGTTTTGACTTTATAGTTAAACTCAATCATGCTATATTATATTGTTTTTCATAACTCAGCCATGTTTACTCTGCTTTAACACTTAAATGACATTTTAAATGATATTTTGGGCTAAGAACTATGTTTTACTATTGCCCGAGTGGCTGTGAGATTCTGATTGAGTGAGGCTGGGGGCCTATGTTGTGAGGAAACACTGATTATGATTATGAGGTCGAGGGCCTCAGATTATACGCCACGAGATGTCTTTTTGATATGAGACCAAGGGCCTAATGATGATGCCACATGATGGCTTGATATTGCGCTTGGGCCGTAAGGGGCCCCTCCAGGAGTCTCCACACCCCCAGTGAGCGCGGGTACCTAGTGTGATGTGAGAGATTGCCCGATGGGCTGGTGTTGTTCTATGATCTTGTCCGAGGGGCGATCCTTTATGTGTTTATCTTTCCTATTTGCCTGTTATTTGCTTGCTTAATTGTTTAAAAGGCATTTTTATGAAGTTTAAACTGAACTCAGCAATTTTACACATATGTACTGCTTCACTGCTTTACTGACTTTTATTGCTTACTTATAGCCTATAATGTGCCTTACGTGATTTCATTCCTTCAGTCTTTATTTATGATTATTACTCACTGAGTTGGAGTACTCACTTTACTCTCTGCATCCCGTGTGCAGATTCAGGCGTTGCTGATCCTGCTAGTGAGAGTTGAGAGCTCCCAGCAGACTTCAAAGTTCACGAGGTAGCTGCTTGGCGTCTGCAGTCCCGTGTTTCTCCCCTTTATCTCATTCCTTTTCCCTGATTAGTGACTTTGTATTAGCTTTATAGACTTTTCAGACTTGTGTTAGAATTGATAGATGTTCATGACTAGTGACACCCTGGTATCGGGTTGTGTTGGGTTTTATTTCCGCAAACTGTGATGTTCACTGCTTATTATTTATCTTACCAAGTTTAAGGCTCAATATTTATTAATTGAATTGCTTAAAAATTGAAATGATAAATGTATCGGCTGGCCTTGTCTTCACGAGAGGTGCCATCACGACCGGTTCCGGGTTTAGGGTCATGACAATTTGCGAAGCTGGGTAGGCACTGAGGATTTCACATTTGCAAAGTTTTTGCCGCTTTTGCGAACTGTCCACTTTCGCATTTGCAAAGTTTTTGATCACATTTGCGACCATGGCAGAGACAGCCAGCCCTCGTGTTTGCGATGGTTTTGTCGCATTTGCGACCTTCGTATTTTACGAATGAGATGTCGCATCTGCGACTTGTGCAAGAGCCTTTTATTACGGGACATAGCTTTATTTTCCTCATTTCGCACTTGGTCTTAGGCAATTTTGAGAGCATTTTGTGGAGAGATTTCATCTAACATCAAGAGGTAAGTGATCCCTATCAATTCGTTAGCTAAATACGCGAATCATAGATAGATTTAATATGGAAAAAATGGCGAAATTAATGGGATTTTTGAGAAAAAAATCTAGTGTTTGGTAAAATGAAATTTTGCCACGAAATTGGTTATAGAATTAAGTAAAAATTACACATTTGAGTTCCTGAGACTATGGGTAATAATTTTCTTCGAAAATTTTCGGAATCCGGACATATGGGCCAGGGGTGAATTTAGGAACCTTCTAATTTGGGTTGGGTAATCACTCTAATAACTAAATTATGAACTTTTAAGCATGTATTGATTAATTTATATAATGTTGAATAGTTTCGGATTGTTCGGAACCAAGTTGAGGCTTTAGAACGAATTTGTGGGCATGAAGGTGAGCTTTGAAACGAGGTAAGTCTCTTGCCTAACCTTATAAGAGGAAATTTACCCCATAGGTATTTTAAATTACTATTTGCTTCTATTTGTGGGGCTACGTATGTACTAGGTGGCGAGAGCCCGTGAGTAGCTACTAATCATGCTAAGTCCGGGTAGTTTAGGGCCCAATTCATGAATTACTTGAATTGTTTGCACTCTGCTTGTTAATTTAAGTGCCTAAATCATATTAAAACTTGATAAAGAATTCGTAAAGACCGAACTTCACTTACTTTGAGTATTGGAGGATTACTTGATCATTAATGGAAATTGTGCATCCTTGTGCATAAACTTCGTAATAGCTTTTAAATTGGATGTTCATAGAATATTCTCTCTTATTGTGGAGCGGGCCGAATGCCTCAGCAGTATAATAGATGCATCTATGGTTCGTGTCGCTCGACTCTCGACAGTGTGCACATTATTCTGGATCAGACCGTACGACCTCAGCATAAATCGTGCGTGATAATGTTCGGAGCCCGAATACACTTGATATTATATTTATGACTTAAAAGATTATAATTTATTTTGTGGCCCGAAATTGTTGAAGTTAGTATCGTGTAAATGGGAGATTTTAATTGATTATTAGCTAAGGAAAAATTTATTTATTGTTAGTTATTGTGTTGTTGTTGTTGTTGTTATTATTATTATTATTATTATTATTATTATTATTATTATTATTATTCATGTACTCCATACCTATTAGAATTGTTGTATTTTATTATTGGCCCATAGTAAGTATCGAAGTCGCCCACTCGTCACTATTTCTTCGAGGTTAGACTGGATACTTACTGGGTACATATTGTTTATGTACTCAAGCTACACTTCTGCACCAATCATGCAGGATCTGAGGCAGGTGCATGTGACAGCCATTCCCACGCGCACCCTCGATACCCTGAGGCTTAGTGGTGAGCTGCTTTCTGAGTCTGTTCTGCAGCACCCGAAGTCTTGCATTTATTTTCCTCCTACTCTATTTCAGATAGTAGCTTAGTGTTTTGTGTATATTCTACTAGTTGCTCATACACTTGTGACACCAGATCTTGCACATGCTAGTAGACATTTGATGGTTCTTTTTTGGGTATTTATATCCATGTTCTTGTTTTTTTATGAGCTTACGCTTACTTCATAAAAAATTTCACTTCTTATTTAATTAATAAATGTAAATAAACTATTTTGAAATTATTAAAAAGGGATAGATGCTTGGCTAATTCACCGTTGGCTTGCCTAGCGGCAACGTTGGCGCCATCACGACCTATAGGAGAAATTGGGCCGTGACAACATGGTATCAAGGACAGGTTCACATAGGTCACACAAGTTATGAGGAGGCCTAATAGAATCTTGCAGATTAGTGGGGAGACATCCGTACTTATCTTCGAGAGGCTATAGGGTGTTAGAAAACTACTCTTTCTTCATATCCTATCATGCAGTTGATGGTGTGCTAAGTATCTTTCTCTTATTCTCTCGCAGATGGTGAGAACGCGCGCAGCAGATGTACCCGACCATGGAGGAGCTGCTCCCCCTGTTGCTAGAGGTCAAGGTAGAGGCCGAGGGAGGTTTCCAGCTCGTGGTAGAGAACGAAGGCGTCCTAGAGTTGCTCCAGTTATGCCACCAGTGGATCTAGTGCTGGATCCTATAATTGACACTACTAGAAAATAGGCCTATTGGAACAGTTTTCCTGGAACGGTTCTAAAACCGTGGCAATAGATTGGATATTGTAACGGTTGTAACCGTTACAATAGCATTCAGATGAAATCAACACAATTAGAAACTAAACCGTTCCAGTTGATACTCAACCGTTACCATAGGTATTTCTTATAGGAACGGTTTTATAAACCGTCCCAATATACCTATTTATAGGAACGATGTTTGAAAATTTTGTTATTGGAATGGGTATTTGTTCCCTCCTCGTTTTCCCCTCAATTTTGCTAAACCCGCCAATAACCCCTTTTTCTTTTATTTTTTTATATATTTTATTAATGTAAATGTAATAATGAAATTAAAGAGTACTCCATCGTCCATTCTCCACAAAACTATCGTTGTCGACACGTCCAAAGTCCATCCATCCACAAAACTCAATTCACCATTGAAAGCAGTCATCTTTGTCAAGCGGCTAACCCTAAATTCCCAAGGTCCATTCGTTAACCCAAAACCCCCTAATCTCGACTGCTAACCCTAAACTCCCAAATCCTCAAAATTCCAAAATCCCCAAAGTCCTAAAATCCATTTATTTCACTCGAAGGAGATGAAGAACATAAGAATAATTAAAGGCAACGATTACAGTTGAAGAAATATTCCAATCGCGAGAAATTTTCGATCCAAAAGGCAATCTGTGAGTAATCATTTTCAGGTATTTTTTTCTAATTTGGGCATTATCTTCTATATAATCATTCTTTTGTTTTTCTTTAAGCATTATGGTGTGAGCAGTGTATATGATTTCTTGCTTTCTTTTGATGTTTAGAACCCAAATTGTTTGGGCTTAATTTTCATTTGGGTATGGCTAACGTGGGTCAAAATTTATTTCAGTAAATATTGTGAATTCTTATATGAACTAAATTCTCCGGAAAGTTACATTGAATTTTCTGTTGCTTAAGCTATTAAGTTGGGTAGTTTGGGTTATCGACTCTGAATTGCATGAGCTATATCAGAGAGCTACCTCCCCTGTAATTTTGATTGTAGAATGTCGTCTCCTTGTTTTGATAAAAACTGTCCTCAATAACACGCAATGCACAATTCCTGTAACATCTATTGTAATGCTAAGCCTTCTGGTTTAGGGATCAAACTCTATAAGAGAGGTCTCCCATATTCAATTTGAGCTATTTTAGATCCTCCGTAGTTCGACTAACCTACTATATATGTGTTTAACTAGTTAATATGTCTGCGCTTTGCACAGTCGGACATAATTTCTTTATAAATTTAATTGATAGAGAAGCCATAAAGTCGCATGTGCGTGGTCTAGGACATGATCCCTATCTTTTGTCTTTTCTTTTAAACAAAGATGCAAATACATGGTTAGTGAAGAGAGGACTACTCTCTTGTACAGTTTTGCTGCTATGAACAGTTAAGCTAGAAAAAAACAAAAGGAATAAATGAACTATCATATAGTTATACAAATCATCATATGAAACTACTTTTAACCTTGTAAACTTCCTTGGCTCCAAAATAGTGGAATATTACAATAACTTCCTCAAAATGTTGCAGCTTCCTTTTGTTGTCTTTTACCTGTGTGAATGTGCCACGGCTAGTGGAACACAAAATTTGATTTTAGCTTAATAGATCTCATGTATGGTATAATGTATCAGTTTGTCTTCGGTTTCCTTATGCCTTCTTTCCTTTCTTCTTACTGATAATGCTTTCTCTTAACTAGTAAAACTATAGAATAAGTTTTATAACACTTGTCATGTTAAATGCTTTTCCTTCTTTTACTTTCTATTAGTACATTATGTCTTTTTATTTTGTATAATAATGTACATGCTAAAATTAGCAAACTTGTTAGCAAAAATAACATATGTGACCTTACTAAGAAATCTATCTTCTTACTGTTAAATATAAGAAGTAGTTACATATGTGACTTCACATGTTAGATATCTTACCTACTTATTTAGATTTAATTTCTGCCTGATTTTTCTTGACTTGATCTCTCTTTCTATCTCTGAAATCTGATGTACATACCATTCCGTGAACTTTTTCTTGGCCTTTGTATTTTCGATAAATTTTATTCTCTTTGGGTCTGTCAAGATGTAGGTATTGTGTAGGACTGCTTTAAGTATGGTGATTTCAAATTGAATATGGTACAGTCAAGTACTGTGGAGAAATAAGTTATTAAAGAATAGATGGATCCAATAAAATATGTTTGTTTGTAGATATTCCTGCTTTGTTCAGAGATATGTATGTTTAGTTGGTCTTCTTGTCAAGGCTTTGTTGAAGCTTTTTTAGTGCTTTTATTGCTGGACCCTAATCATCATTTCATGAGGCACATCTGGTATAAAGCATTTTTTCTCAGATGCTTCAGATCATTGTTTCTTATGCCTTCTGATAAATGTGTATTATGCTACTGCTACAAATCATTTCAGTTTACATGTTGCAACTTTAAAATAGGTTATTTTGTCTCCTTAAAACAGCTCTGAGGATCCAGATGAGGAGATAAAAGAATTGTTGGCAATATACAGTAGCAACCCCGATTCAGAACACCGTTTGAAGTCACTTTTATCCGGAATAATTTCTACTTTTGCTGGTAACAAGTCCATTAGAGAGATAATAGAGGAGCTAGAAAATCATCAGCAAAGTGCTGATACATTGGGTAAGCTTTCACAAATAAGACTTTTCTCATAGATGAATTCATGTTCTCTCTATTTTATACTATTTTTTCTCCACAAATGAATCTTGTATCTTATTTTCCAATCAATGAGTAAACTTTAGAGCCATGCTTTATTTTCATTTTTCATGTGTGAGTTCATCTTCTTGACAGAGGTAACTTATTTCATATTTAATTTTCTGAATTTGACAGGAATTTGAATAGTCATTGTCACGACCCAAACCGATGGGCCGCGACGGGCGCCTGAGTCTTACCTATCAAACACCCCTAAGCATACGTCTAAAATATGAACCTGAATAACATCTACTGCATTACAAAATTAACATACGTGAAAGAAGCCTGCCATCAAGGCATATGTACGTATACAGACATGATACAGTGGGCGAGCCGGCAAGGCTGCTATAGACAACTATACATCAAAAACTGAAAGCCGACAAGGCCACATATAACCCTACTAGACATACTGTCTACAGACCTCTAATAGAAACATAATTGTACAAAGACAGGACTGAGCCATGTCATACTCATATACATATATATGTACAAACGTATCGTACCAATATCAAAAGTAGCTCCGGATCAAATGGAGCATGCCAACTCTCGCTGATCAGGGATCCTAAGAAGGAGGACCGTCAGCTTGCCTACCTGCACCTGCAGGCATGAAACGCAGGCCCCGTAGAATAGGGCGTCAGTATGAAAAATGTATTGAGTATGTAAGGCATGAAAATTAGTACGTAATAGACATAGATGAAACATGGAATACTGAAACACATCTTTAAATATGAATAACTTTGTATATTTTGAAACGTTTATAACGTCATGCACGTGCGTGTAAATGTCAAGCCATGCATAGGTATGGATTTACATAATATCATCAGCCTCTGAGGGCATCCTATCACATCATATCGGCCACTATAGGCAAAGTCATAATCGTATACCAGCTGATCAGGTGGCGGTGCGTATATAACGCCACAACTATTCCCATATCCCATATACATATATATACATACATATATACGCGTATATAACGCCGTTTGAATACATACATATATATGCGTATATAACTCCATTTGAATACATACCTATATATGCGTATATAACACCGTTTGAATCATATTTCAGCCACTGTGGGCAACATCATCATCATATACCAGCTGATGAGGTGGTGGTGCGTATATAACGCCATAACCTTTCCCATATCCCATATACATATATATACATACATATATACGCGTAAATAACGCCGTTTGAATACATACATATATATATATATATGCGTATATAACGCCATTTGAATACATACCCATATATGCATATATAACGCCGTTTGAATCATATTTCAGCCACTGTGGGCAACATCATAATCATATACCAGCTGATCAGGTGGTGATGCGTATATAACACCGTAACCTTTTCCCATATCCCATATACATATATTTACATATATACGCATATATAACGCCATCTGGTCATGGGTCAATGCACATGTATAAATGAGTAAAATGCATGAAAATACATAATAATCTTGATATTCCTTACGGATAAACTTTTCCAGCTGCGTATTATTCTGAGATCCATGAACAGAAGATAATAATAATTATCATGGGGAATCAAGAATATAGACACCCCTACTATTTCTATGAATAGAATAATTTATAGAAACCGTGTATTTGCTCGTTTCTTTCGTATAATCTGGACCATGTCAAAAGAAAGAAGGGAGGACGTTAACATACCTGAACAGCTATATCACTTGCATCGAGAGCATAAACCTGGATAGCTATATCACTTGTATCGACAGCATAAACCTTCCTAATACAGTATTCCAAACTTAGCGAAGTCTATATCGGGTGTATGAAGAGGCAGCGCAAATATGCAGTATACTACACTTTGCTGATTCAGAGCTCAAGCAATTAGTTCCACTACCTTTGCTTTTTTTGTTGTATCTTTCGGAGGAATTACCCCTTTCAGTAGGAGTTGAACAAGAAACTCAATTGGTAAAACATCTATGCTATTTGTGGTATCTTTTGTAGTTTATTTTCAAAAGTGAAATTCAAAAGGGTTTAATAACTATAAAGGGGTAAGAATTATATTTGAATGGATAAACACTACTACTATTGAAGTCCCTGAGTCATACACTAATGAGTCACTATGTCAGATAGTGGGCTGCCACGTTTCCCTTGTTGGGGGAGATGATTTTTGTTAAATTTATCCACTTATTAGTTAACCGGGTAATGTTTCGTTATTCGATAATTAATCAACTACCCGCATAATTTAAAAATTACCCCAAATTACTTAAAATTCTATTTAGTTTTTTAAAAATACTTCATATATACTTTATATATTATACTACCGTGGTCACATGGTACCTTGCATGGTACTAGTTTATAATTTTCGGGTATTATTGCTCGACCCGTATTTTATTCCAAATTGTCCACTTTCAATGAAACTCGTTTTCGTTAATCCGCGTACCCCTTTATCCCTCATAACACTTATTTATTTCTTGTTAATACGTTAATGTCAAGATGATCTCATCCCTGATTCTACGTCAGTTAACCGAAGACGAAACTTTTAACGTACAAAAATGTGAGATGTAACATCCTTTCCCCCTTGGAAACATTCGTCCTCGAATGTTACACTCTCTGTGATCCATATAACTTTGGCAAGGTCGCCTTTTATAACAATACTACTACCAACTCTCCTAGTAGAAGCTTAATAACCCAACGCCACACAGGACCACAATTATCAATAACGACAATGGCCTCACATGACCAATGACAATAACAAATGCAAGAATTTATGCACATACCTTATGATTATGACGTCTCAGTCGGACCCTTCTCTGGAGGAGGAAATAAGTAGGGATATCTAGACTTCATGTTTTCCTCGGCCTCCCAAGTCATTTCTTCCACATTGTTGTTTCTCCAAAGTACTTTCACGGAGGCTACCTCCTTATTCCGTAGCTTGCGGATTTGTCGGTCTAGAATGGCAACCGGAATTTCCTCGTATGACAAGTCCTCTATAATCTGTACATCATTCGTAGGTACCACTCGGGTAGGATCGCCAATGTACTTTCATAACATAGATACATGAAAAACTGGATGGACAGACTCCAATTGCGAGGGCAATTCTAACTCATAAGCTACTCGGCCCACCCTCCGAATGATCTTATAAGGCCCGATGTAACATGGGCTAAGTTTACCCTTTTTGCCAAATCTCATCACACCCTTCATAGGTGACACCTTCAAGAATACCCAGTCATCAACCCCGAACTCTAAATCTCGACGTCGCACATCTGAATATGACTTCTGACGACTCTGAGCTGTCAATAGTCGATCCCGGATAAACTTTACTTTTTCTATGGCTTGCTGAACCAGGTATGGCCTGTGTAATCCAGATTCTCCAACTTCGAACCACCCTATAGGCGACCTACACTTTTGTCCGTAAAGGGCTTCGTATGGAGCCATCTGAATGCTGGAATGGTAGCTATTATTATATGCGAACTCAATAAGTGGCAGATGATTATCCCAGCTACCTTTGAAGTCTATTACACAAGCTCGCAACATATACTCTAGTGTTTGAATTGTACGCTCAGCCTGTCTGTCTGTCTGGGGATGAAATGTTGTACTAAGACTTACTTGAGTCCCC